ACTGGGTCCTACAGGGTCAAGAGAGGTGTGAACGAAGAAGACTTGGCAAACCAAGGAGCTGACCATCAGTTTGAAGATGCTCATACTTCTGTAATTTAAATGCTCCTCGGTCCTCCTTGCTGCCACCCCTTCCCTTCGGCTTAGACTGCTGGACTCACAATGTCTGTGTGAGAGACTGCTGTGTGTGTGTGGCCATGGGGAAGGGTGCTAAAACTGGGGAGAAAACTAAGCTCAATGGATTGGACAGCAACCCAATCTATAAGTGAGACTCAGGCTTAGAGCCTCCTGGGATGAGTAGGGACCCGGGGCAGGAGGTGACTCCAATGGAATTTGGTCCTGGGGCCAAAGTCATTTCACCCTCAAGAGGGTAGCAAGAGCCCCAGGATGCATGAGACTGGAGTTCTGCTTCCCAGGAAAGTGTAACAGCCACTTCCAACTCTCCCCAGGCATAGGCTTCCAATGCAGGCCCAGCGCCTCCTCTCCCCTGCACTGAGCCCCTCAGACACTGAGTGCGGCTGTGGGAGTTACAGCTGGGGAGGGACAGCTATCCAAAGTGTCCTTTGGGGAAGTGGCAGAAGGGAGATGGAAACAGCCCCCTTTTTGCCCATCTATGTGCTCAGGGGAGGCTCATCTTGGCCTAGGCAGTTTTTGAGACAGCAGGACAGCTGGAATCCTACTGTGAAGCGCATGGGTTTCTGGAGAGATCATCAGCTAAGGGGGTTCAAACAATTTTAGGAGAATTCTTCAATTATTTTTTTTTTGAGACAGGATCTCACTAGCCTAAGTGGCCTTGAACTTTCCCTGTATCCTAGACTTGCTGTCCTCCGTCTCAGGTGTGGGCCACTGTTCCCAGTCAGAACTCTTCAAAGGCATGCTTAATATGCAAAACAGATGCTAGAGGGGAGGTACTGGTGGAAGTGAGTGCAGCTCCACCTCCTGCTCTTCCCTCCCTCATGGTAGACTCAAGGCACTTCTAGAATCATCTGTGCAACAGAGTTTAAAAACCACAATTTGACCCCCCTCCCTCATTTGGCAGACAGGATACTTCCTGCCAGCGAGGGGACAGGCCTGCCCCAGCCTGGGCCTGGGTCTCCTGCCTCTGAGCCTAGATTCACTCTCCACCACACTCACAGCTGCTCTCAGAAGAAACTGTTTTTCTCTTCCCATCCTGGACTTAAGGAAGCCAAATCTCCTGACAGTTTAAGGTTTGGCTCCCATATAGGTAAGACTCATTTTTAAACAGGCCACCAACAGTCACCGAGTGTGTGGACAGACTTGTTCAAACAAAATGAACTTGCTTGATTTCGGCAGACCTGGTCTGGGCTAACCACCCCAGGAGCCCAGCAAAGCCTGAATTACTGAGTGTTACTTTACCTAATGGCTTGTGACCCAGACATCTGCCTGTCGCCCTAAGCAAGGACTCATTTAGCCTCAATGCCATCCCCTCAGAGAGGTAGTGGCTGACAGGAAGAGGCTCTGGGGAGACTTGGCAAGACACCTTTCCCTGCCTCTGGCCCCAGTCGTCCTGCTAGTGGGCCTGGTGGGGGACAACGGCTCCAGAACAAGGAGAAAGGAAAACAAGAGAATGAAAAATAGTATGAAATCTTCAGAACCAAGTAAATCGGTCAGTCCTTGTTTTCTAGGGGCAGAGGCGCTGTCCCTCAAATCCTTCCCCTTCCCTGTGCTGTCCCTCTCCCCGTGCTCCCCACACAACACAGGAGAACCCCCGCTCCTCAGCTGACACCTGACCGTGCCTCCCTGCAGATGCTACCCCTCCGATAGGAGTTCGAAGAACACAAGTTGATTTTGTTGTTGCTGTTGTTGTTGTTGTTGCTGTTTTTTGTGATACGGGGGATTGAACTCAGGACCTTGCACTTACAAGGCAGGCACAGGGCCACTGAGCTAAATCCCCTGCCCCACAGGTTGATTATTGAAGGGGAGAGGAATGAAGTCTCCTGTCACAGCACAAGTGCTGTAGCTGGGCTCTTGGGACACCTCACACAGCCAGCTGTGGGGAATGCTAGAAAGTGAGACCAAACCCCTGTCACAAGGGTGAGGCTCAGCCTGGTACCACAGAGCTGACATGCTGGGCTCTTCTCAGCTCTTTGGCCATGTCACCTCTGGGAGGTGGGGCTCAGAGGCAAAGACAAAATCAAAACCCTGAGCCCCAAATCTATGTGGGAAAAATTCTCCCCAAGTCTCTGGTATGGTGACCACCATCTGTATAGACAATCTTTCCACATGTGTTCAGGTTGCAGCCTGAGATCTGCAACATGTGGACACTGTCTCCACGGAGCCACCATGTGGAACCAGGTGGACAACAGGAGCCAGAGGCCATCCAGGCTCCACAGGAGGGAGCTGCTGCTGGGCTGGGCTTTACCCCAGGCTCCAGGAGCAAAGTGGGGACAAGGAGTGTAGATGTCCCTGCCACAGGAAGGAATTGGCTGGGTCCCCCTCCTCAGGACTTCTGGCCTTAGAAGATATGGGGCGGGAGGTGGAAAAGGGGCTAGAGAGGGACACAGTCTCGAACCTGGGAAAGAGCCCAGTTGCATGACCAGCCCACCTTGGTGCTGACCCTGGAGGAGGCTGACACTCCCCACTCCATTCCCTGCTGTCTCAGAGCTGCCTAGGTCTTGGCCCCTGTGTCCCCCCTGCTCAGGGACTGAGGGGAGGACAGAGTCATCAATCTTACCCTCTAGACACCTCTCCCAGAGTCTTTTCTCTGGCTAACTAATGCTTTTGATTCCCTCCCTTTTCTGTCACCCGTGGGAAATTAAACTCATTGATTTAGCGCAGGGGCATTCTCCTATCTCAGGAGGGCAGGGCCGCTTGAGCAGCGGGGGCTGGAGGCCCACATCCTAAGACAGACCCTGACAGGAAGCAGCTTTATAGAACCCAGCCAGCTGCAGCCGGTTCCATCCTGCCCACTCATTATTTATGCAGCACAGAGCTTTTCCAGGCCCTCTTCCCCTCACTGGCCCCACCACAGCATCGACCGCCCTAATGGCGAGGCTCTGTGGTGGTGGGCCTGGGCCACACTGTACCCAAGCCTTCCCCTGGCCACTAATTAGCTGAGCTCCAGAGATTCTACTTCACAAATGGGAAACTGGGCCCAGGGGGCCCTGCTGGGAAGTGAGATGGGGCTGAGTGAGCATCAAGCTGCCTCTACACCCAGACCCCGTCTCTGCCCTCTGCTAGCTGTTGCTAACTCACTGCTGGTGTGTGTGTGTGTGTGTGTGTGTGTGTGTGTGTGTGTGTGTGTGTACCTGGGAACATGGACAGAGGCTAGGGTGGGCAGGTGAGAAGTTAGTTCTTCCTGAGCCCCAGAGAAGGGGGAGTTTACCATGGTGAGAACTCCAGAGGAAGGAAGGGATCTGAGGTGACAATCTCCTTCAAAGCGGTTGGGAGGGCTTGCCTTGGAGCTGCATTTGTAGAGCACAAACACACTGTTTTGACTTAGAGTGGATTTTTAGGGGTGGCTGTGGGGACCACCGATGGAGACTCTCTAGGTTCTCCAATCCTCCCCTGGCCCCATCACTGTGATTTAGCTGGGAGGTTTTTACCTTGGATACTTCTCAGCCCCTAAATCAACTGTGGGTGCAGTAGCCATGTCCCCACTCTATCTGTGGTGGTAAAGGGAGCCATGGATACACCCTGGGGGTCCCAAACACTAGCATTTACTGGATGCAATCAGGTGAAAATGCCTGGTAAGAAAAGTCTCAGAGGGTGGGACGCAGAGTCAATACCTGGGACAGTAGCCAGACCCAATGGAGACGCGTGTTGGCTGCCAGGAGCAGCTGAGGCAGGAGAGGGGAAGGAATACCGATTCTGCTAATGGTGCTCAAAGCTCCAAACAGCCTTCCCACCCCAACTAGAGGTCTCTGGCAGAGACAGACTTCTCTTGGCCTTCAGGGGCTGCATCTCAGACAGTCCCTCTCATAATTTCATGGCACTCCAAGCCTCCATTTAAATCATCAGATGTAAACTTAACTTTGAAGGAAGAAAAGAGCCTGTATCCCATTAATCTCAGAGAGAAATCTGTCAGATGTAGTAAAAATGCATGGAACCAGCTATGTAAAATGTGAAATGCTGGCCAGAGCTCCATTTATTCTATGGTCTTATAGAAATAGTAAATTATTCATCAAAATTGAGCATCAGAACCAACCACTACTATGTGCACATGATCTGTGGTTCCTGGAACATCTGAGGTGCCACTGCTCAGGGGCAGAATCATGATGTGGGACAGGAAGGGGCATGTGAATGCACCTCTGGTTTCCTGGAAAGGTCAAGCCTTCCAAGGAGGAGGTGGGACAGGGTCTGCATTTCCTAGGCCACACAAACACAAATCTTAGAAATGAGGGACAGAGATTTAGCTCAGTGGTTTTGCCGCCTGCTGCGCAAGCACAAGGACCAGAGTTCAATCCCCGGTACCAAAAAAAAAAAATAAATCTTAAAAATGAAATGGGTTTGAGGGCAAAAAACCTTCCAGAAGATGGCCCATAGCACCTAAAGCCTATGAGCGCCCCCTTCTCCCAGTAGCTCCCAGGCCCACTTTTAAGTGGAAAGTGCCTACTGAAACCTGGAAAGTCACCCCTCAGTGGAAGCCCTGGAAGAGCGCCTTTGCCCCACCCCTAAGGCCCTGGTGAAGAGGTCAGAATTAGCCGTCGAGGCCCCAAGAGAGTATCTTTGGCTGGAGAGATGGGCCAGGGGGGACACATCTTGACCCACTCCAGCCACGATCGCGTCGGCCCACACCAGCTCCCCACTCGGGACTCAGTTCATGCTACAAAGAACTCACCCCCGCGTCCCGGCCCGTGGTGCCACCCTAGCTCTATCTGCCCGGGCCAAGAGCCACATCTTCCAGAAGGAGTCAGCGCAGGTTGAAACGGGGCGAGGCCAAGGTCACAGAGGAAAACAGAGGCAGGACCGGCACGGGATGGGGCCTGAGATCGGGGACTCGCTCCCAGCGGAGTTCCGGGGGCACCATAGAGGGCACTCACCGCCGGGACCACTTGGCCGACGGCCTCCCGAAGGGCCGCTTCCACAGCACCCCGTAGAGCTGCACTTTGGTGCTGATGTCCAGCGCGTCCGAGTCGGCCTGCTCCAGGGACGGCGACGGCGACACGGAGTTGGACTTGGACGAGAACATCCTGCCTCGGCGGGGCAGCCCGCGGCCGGGACCACTCCCTCCAAGGGGGCGCGTGGGGACGGGGTGGATGGCGGGAGGCAGAGGGGCGCGGGGTCCGCAGGGGCTCCGGCCCGGAGCGGCTGCGTGAACGCGCGGGCCCGAGGCTAGCGCTGGGCTCCGGGCGGCCGCGGCCGGGCGGAACTCGGGGGGAGGGCGGCTCAGCCACGGGCCCGCATCCCCCCGCCCGGTGGCAGCCCCAGTTCTGGCGGCCCGGATTGGCCCGGGGTGGCAGGTGAGCCGCGGGAGGCCGGCGGCGAGCGCCAATCAGGGCGGGCGCCGGCTGCAGGGCCGGGGTGCGGGCGCCTGGAAGGTCCCCACGGGTCGCTGGGCCGGGATTTGTCCGCAGCGCCTCCCCGCCCCCACCCCAGGCGACCAGCGCCCCCGGGGCCCCTTGCGTGGAGACCCGGGACGTGCGTGGCCCGTGGCGGGCGAGCGTCGCTCCGCAGACACCTGCTCGCCTCTGGGCTGGGAGAAAAGGAGCAAGGGTGTGGTGTGGGTGAGAGGACGGGCTGGGGAATCCAGCTCCGCAACCTGCGGGAGCCGAGGATTTCTGACCTGCACCCGGGGCAGGCTGGTGGCCAGGTAAGACTTGGATCAGCGTCTAAGCGTCTGCCGCGACGGAGGCTCCGCCACTGTGGGTGGCGTCCTCCCTGCCCCCTCACGTGAGTTTCACTTTGCACAGCCGCCGCCTCCCGCGGGTCGGATTTCTTTCCCTGGAACTTGGCTGTCTGTGTCGGCATTTGGCACTCAGGGCCAATCTGGAGTTGTCAGTGCAGTTTGAGTTCGTGATTTATCCGCGCGCCTGGCCCGCGCTCCCTGGGGCTGCCTGCGCCACCCACTTCCGCTTCCCTCGGGGTAGGTGTTTGGTGACAGCCTCACTTTCTGGCCTGTGTAAGTACCTGCCCAGCCCCTGGGCTGCCTCCCCCTCAGCCCGTGGAAGGGAGTCTGTAAGCCCAGGGTCCCGCACCACTCCTAAGAAGAGGAATAAATCTGCTCGTTCGAAGGCTGCCCGACCCCCCCCCCCCCCCCGCCATGCCTCGGTCTTCACTTTTCTGGTTGAGGAGCTACGGGACATTGCTGGTCACTCACAAGTCAGCTATGCCTTCTGCGAGTCCACTTTCCCCACCCAGGGTCTCTGATCCACCTATGTGAGAGAAAGAAGTCCTTTGAGGATCAGAAGCTTCCAAATGGGTAGCCTAAGAATCAAATCAGCTTGCAGATAGACATTAGCCCAAATTTTATTTATTTTTAAATTTTATTTAACTTTAATTTTTTGAAGACAAGGTCTCCCTATGTACTCCAGGCTGGCCTGGAACTCACTGTGGTCCTCCTGCCTCAGCCTCCAAAGTGCTGGATTACTGGCATGTACCACCACTCCCAGCTTTTTATTTTTTGAGATATACTTAACATACAGTAAAAATGCACAGATCTTAAGTGCTTACTAGATGAATGTATGCACCATGTAACCATCACCCAAAGCAAGATGCAGAGCATTTTCATCACCCCAGAAAATTCCTTCATGTTCTTTTCTAAGAAAGTCAGTTTCTCCCACCACAATCACTGTTGTCACTCTATACATCATTTTTACAGGATCTGGAAATTTTTGACCTGAATGGCTAAAGAGACACTCTCTACAGACTTCTGCTACTCCCTCATCTTACCTGGCTGGCTCATCCTTGCAGACATTTAAAGTTTGTGATCCTCCAATGGCTGGGAGAGATCTCCCTTTGGGAGTCCTGCTTAAAGATAGATAACACAAAATTTGTATTACTCTGGGACCCTGTAAGCGCAAGCCCAGCCTGAGCAACTTAGTGACTTGCTCAAAACAAAAAATAAAAAGTGTAGGGGATGTAGCTTGGTGCAAAGGCCCTGGGTTCAATCTCTAGCACTCAAAACAAAGCGAAAACAGCATCTTGCGTTAAAATTAAAAGCTTGTGATGTGGAGTTTACTGATCAGGGACACAGGAATGGCATTTTGAGTTGCAGTTGACAGCTATGAGGAAAGGCATTGCACAGCCATGTCCTTTTCCCAGGAAGATGATGGCCAAGGGGCCTGGCTTGCTTTGGGTGGCTGCTGTGGGCTCCCTTGCCTGTGCAAGGCTTGACTGCCCTACGGGAACTCAAGAGGGAGATGAGGTATGGCACATAGCACCACATGTAGGTGCAAAGCCAGTAGACCAGAGGACCACGGAAGAGGGGGAGCCAGAAGAGAGCTTTCGGGCAGAGAACACCAGCTGCCCTGTCTCTGGGCCCTCCAGGACAGCTCACTTTCCCTGGGAAGCCCACTGGAACCCACTCCAGCAGCCCGTTCAGTTTCGGGCTTGAACTCCCTTGCATTAGAATAGATAGATTCTGCTCTCAGCAGCAGGGTCAGCCCCTTGTAGGCCTCTGCCCTCACACTGCCCAGTAATTGCTCAAACCCAAGGTTGCCAATGTAGAATGTTTTTGAGGGGGTGGGAATGGTGGCTGGCACACCCTGTCCTGCAGGCCTGCCAGCCACTTCACAGCACTACATGGGTTCCTGGTATCTGAGGGCATCACTGGGGGCAGCCACTGCTCAGAAACTCTGCAAGTCCTTTCTGAGGGTGAAGTGTGGATTAAAATGTGCATATTAATTTGGTTTCTAAGAGCAAGTATATTTTATTTGGGGTAGAAGGGATGTGCAAAGTATGGCCAAGAAGCCCATAAATGATTTATTGTTATGATCTCACACAGTCCTCCAGAACATCTGAGGAACAGCTAGAGTGTTAATCCTTCATCTAGAACTGAATTAGCAATTCAGCTGACCAGATGCCAGAGGCTGGGCACCAGGTTAGCTCCAGCTTAACTGAATGAAAAGACCATGGACAAGTTACTTTCAAACCCCTGGCACTTCGTAAGTCAAAAGGGGACCTTTTCAACGCTGTATCATTTTATCTTGAGATGTTTTTTTCCAGGTGTAACAGCAAATTTTTTTTTTCTGGCCTCTCAAAGTACTGAGCAAGGAGAAGGCAGTAATAGAAGATAATGTAATGAATTCTGCTCCTCCTGCCTTCTGCCCCCAGCCCAGGGGAAGAAGCAATCAGCCTGGGACTCAAGGGTCAGAAGGAAACAGCAGGTGGGAGGGAGATGGAGGCCTTGGTGAGACAGTGGTGAGGGTTTGCACACAGAGGAAGGTGGTGGACAGGGACATTTCCTATTCCTGGGCATGTCCCCTTAAAGGAAGTAGAGCGCTCGAGTGTGGGGAGGTAGAACCACTGGACAAGGAGGAGTGGACAAAGGTCCAGCAGTGGAAGGAGCCAGGAAGTGGGGGAGACAAGTAGGAATGGAGAGGGGAAAAAGTCATCTAGTCCACCTTGAGGGCTCAGAGGAGCCACTGGAGTACAGGGACCTGGAAACTGCTGACTACTACAGGAACTCAGGCCAGCCAGCACCACTTGGAAAGGGACAGTTGGGGCTGAGGCAGGGATTATAAAGACCCCAGATGGGCCCAATTATCTGTAGAACTTTATGTTTGGAAGCTTAGAGGACATCTAAGGCACCAACATGTCTCCACAGCCACTGTGTACCTCCCTTTTGCAGCCAGAACGTCACCTTGTTCAGCCCATGTTCTGGTGTTGCTCCCAGGCCTTTGCCCAAGTGTCCTCCTGCCTGGAGAGCCCTTCCTGTTTCCCTACTCACCCTCTTGGCCTTCAGATTCAACACAGGTCTCACTGCCTTCTGTATGCCTCCTGGACAGCTCCTCTGGGCGCCTGGGCCATGCTAACTCTCCTCCTTGTACCTACCTCACTACTGGTCATTGTGTTTTCCTGCCTGAAGCTCTCCCTGAGCCACTGGCTCTTCCAGGATTGGAGCAGGCTCTTGCTCCCTTTTGTAGACACAGCACCTAGGAGTGCTTGGTCCATAGGAGGGCTCTATGAACAATGATTGAAGAAGTGCATGAAATAGGGGTGGGTTCTGCCTACTTCTGGTTCCACCTCTGGGATACCCAGGATCACTGCTTCCCTGCCCTGGCAAGCCCTTGAAGAACCTTAAGATGGTTAATGAGTTCCGACGCCCAAAGCCTTCCACACATAGACAAAAACACTTTGGCTTCCTCAAATTCCCTGAGGCTCCCTCTCCTTTCAGGAGCCCGCCATTAAGCATGGCAGCCACAGTAAGCACATGCCTTCTCACATTCTCAGGCATAAAGTATAAAACTGGTGCAAAGCTACACCACACAAGCATCAATGGCTGAGCCAGAAATGGGCTCCAGGTTTCCCAGTGCCTAACTCAGTCACACAGTACCTTACTAGGGTCGGTTAGCACTGGATTAGTAAACCAAACCCAGTTAATTTCCAACCTGTACCCCACACCCTTTCTGACTCCCATCTTCATTAACTCCCAAGTTGGTCTCCCCTGTGGTGAGCTACACCTAAGGCCACAGCTGATTCTGCCAAGGATTGCGCCTGCAGCCAGTATGTGTGGGGTGGTGAATGCGGAGGAAAGCATCCCCCAACCAGGCAGACCAGTTCATTTAACAACTGTTTATTGGGCACCTACCTACTTCTTCTAGTGGGCAAAGGGGACAAACAGAAGATATTTTAAAGCACATTAAAAGGTGATCAGTGCTACAAAAAAGAAATACAACAGGGTAAGGAGCATGGGGGAGGGCAGGTTAGTCTTACTAAGGTGGTCGGGGTTCGCCTAAGTGAAGGAGACACTGAAGGTGGGGAGGCTGTGGAAGAGCAACACTCTGGAAAAGGGACAGCATAGCCACATGGATGCTTATTCCAGATTCATAAAAATGACACTGTGGATGCAGCTCTGGCTTACAAGAACACAAAACTAAGGCTTGTTGGCTATTTTGGCTATGTCTACACACACACACACCCTTTGCTCTCAGGGCAGCAGTGTGAAAGGGCGTAATGCTGACTTCAGGATTTCAAGGCCCACTGCTCAAGTCAGAGGAGGGAGGTGGTGCCGCACCCAGAGACTCCTGCAGAGATGGCAGGGACATAAATATGTCCCTGAGGCTGCTTTCCTTCATGAGATGTTAAAAACATGGCACACTTGGGGCACAATCACTCTAGCACATGTAATGCATATGAAAAACCAGCCTAACTGTCGAAAGCTAGTAATGCACACATTTTTGGGGTTTTTTGTGATCTTGGGGATTGAACACAGGATTACATATGGCAGGCAAGTGGCATCACTGAGCCACACCCTCAGCCCTCTAACCCTACCAGCCTCCTCTGCTGCTTCTGTAGGCATATTGCACACATGCAAAAGATAATTTCACTATATTTTGTAAGCCTAGAAGAATATTAGAAGAAATTATGCCAAATGTTATCAGTTAGTGTTTCTGAATAATGGGATTAAAAGTGATTTCTTCTTTTGAGACAGGGTCTTGCTAAGTTGCCCAATCTGGCTTCTCACCTGTGATCCTCCTGCCTCACCCTCTTGGCTAGGAACACAGGTGTGTGCCACCATAACCAACTTCAAATAGTACATTTCAATGATATACTGCTATATATAGCATATATTTGTACTTAAGTTAAAACAATAAGCCACAGCAATAAAGTCCATAGAGGGAGAAAACAATTACCCACTTCTCAAGTTGCACTTCTATTTTAATCTTTACTTCCAGGGTTAGTTGTTCAGTGTCTATATGCTCATAGAACAACTCTACCTTTTTTTTTTTTTTTTTTTAAGATTTCTAACTTTTGGGCTGGGGATTTAGCTCAGTGGTTCTACCACATGCCTCACAAGTGCAAGGTCCCGAGTTCGATCCCCGGTACCAAAAAAAAAGATTTCTAACTTTTATTTTATTTTTTTTCCTTAATATTCTTTTATTGGTAATTTTAGGTATACATTTACATTTATCATTGGGTACTTGCACCTGTACATGATGATTCTTGGTTATTTTTTCCCCATTTCCTGTCCTCCCTTTACCCCCTCCACTCTTCCCTATTTACAAAGACTTTGTTTCCATTTTTTCCTTTTCGCATAATTTTTTCTTTCCCTTCTTCCCTTTCCCCTTCCCCTCACACTTCCCCTACCCCTTTGGACCTTTTCCTATTTCAAATTATCAATATTTGTTTTAATCATTTTAATCCTTATTTACACTTTCAGTTTCTCACACCAGAGAAACTATTTGGTATTTACACGTGTGTCCTATTTATTTCACTTAAGAGTATGGCCTCAATATGCATCCATTTAGCTATAAATGTCTCTAGTTTGTTGTTCTTTATGGCTGAACAACTCTACCTTTTGAAATGAATCCATGGTGATTGGCATCTGCTGTTTGTTTCTCCTTTGTGGAGCTAAGAGCTACCTTCATAAATCATACTTGCTACCCACAACAGCACAGCAAAAAAAAGTGTCAGTGCGTTTGTGTCTTGAAGCAGATGGTACAGAGTCCCTAGTTTTCCCTCCATTCCCCTCTCCACCCTTGCTTAAAGGAAGTGCATGTAGTAAATACCTTTCCACCATCCTTCACAGCTTCTCAATACTTTTTTTGGTTTTTAAATGTGAGTTCTGGCTGTCAAACAGAAACACTGTGAACAGATAAGTAATGAGACACTCAAATGCACTAATAAAAATTTAATATCAGAAAACAGCAATTCTTTTAAACCATTAACAATTAAAGTGGAAAGAGACAAAATTATAAGGCAGCCATCCATGGAATGATTTCATGTATACAAAGGATCCAGAAAAGGGGACATTTAAAATCACTGTTCAGGCCACCACACCAGGGGAACTGCAGTGGTGTTACAACCCCAGGAAGACTCCCAGCTTGCAGGAAGACACCACCTGACACAGATCAAAGCCAGGCTCCTTGTGTTAAGCAACTGTGTTAGGTGAGCTTAATTCTACAGAATTCCTAAATAGTTGGCCAGTCCTTTCCCACAATGACAAATCTCCTTCAAGTCTCCTGGGGTGAGTTAAAATGTCTCAGGAACAGGAAGGTTACATCATTGGTTTTCATTCCATAGCATCTCCAATTGTGTTCTGTGGGTGATATGGAAGGTTCTGTTCCGAGCAGAAAACTTCTGATGCACAGAAGCTCAACAACTACATTCTTGCCTTGCACTGCAGCAGTTTGGGATGACGTGGTTGTGATCCTCAGGCTCCCAAAGGGCTCTGGGCCCAAGAGGCAGGCACTATATTGGGGGCTTGTGCTGTTGGCATACAGTTCCTGTGTCAATACCTAGCTACCATGTGTGTCAGGGGCTTAACATACTCTGATGCTGGTGTGTCCTCCTAGTTCTAAGCCTTGAAAGAGAGAAAAACCAGGCAGTGACACTTAGAAGTAGGCTGGTAAAAAAACAATTACATTTTCTCCTTTCTGTAAGAAATGACACCTGAAAACAGTCAGTTCCTTTTTTCTCTAGTGATTAAAAATACTGGAGCAGGCTGACTGGGCTGTTTTGAACTGGGAAATAAAGAGGTGAAGGGTAGGAAAGAACATACAGCCTCTGTAGGTAGTACCATTTTCAACTCTTTACATTCCAGTACAGAACCTCTGCCCCCCCTCCAAAAAAAAAAAAAAGAGAAAAGAGGGCCTGGGGATTTAGCTCAGTGGTTCCACCTCCTGCCTCGCAAGCGCAAGATCACAAGTTGGGTCCCCGGTACCCCCTCTGCAAAAAAAAGAAAAGAAAAAGAAATCTGGTAACAGCATGCATAGGAAAACTGAATGAAACCTGAAACATCCCCGCTTTGGTGATATGAGAACAGATAAACAACTGACTGGAGAACACATGAGGGGAATAGGTCAGTAGTATTTTTCAACTTAATTTGCCATTTCAGGGAGCACTCTGAATCTGAAGAAAGTCTATCCCTACCGAGGAAACGGACTCAAACTGCAATAAACATTGACTTTGGTTATGAAGAAGGATGGGCCATGCTTTTCATTATCAACTGCATCTCTTTGGTAGCCAATAATCCCAGTAGTCATGGCAGCAACCTAAGTATCATCAATGTTTCCAAATGTGTTAGAGCATTAAGGCATCCACATCTAAGGAGGCAGTTTTAAATAAGAGAAAAATGGAACTGAAGTGTGCTACAGTGAACGTTGCGATGGCCTGCCCACCACGTGAGCAAGCTCTTCCTCAGCAGAGGCCCTGCCACGCTGCACGGTTCCCTGCTGCCTGAAGATGCACGTGAGCCCTATGAGATTTGTATGGCTATATCTGCCTGCTGACCAGGGGAGGAACAAGCAATTCCTGAGGCCACAGCTTTAAGATTAGGAAAGCCCATAGCTTCTGAGAGTTGGTTAATATTGAGGTCCAGTGGGCCAGGGATTTAGCTCAGTGGTTGTGCTGCCTGCTGCGCAAGTGCAAGGACCTGAGTTCGATCCCCGGTACCAAAAAAACCCACAAAAAACAAAAAACAATATTGAGGTCCAGAGGGGAAGGCAAATTTGGAAGTTTGAGGGTTCAATCCTTGCCAGAGTTCAAGACCTTATCCAGTATGATATTCTAGCCAAACTTTTAAGTGAAATGGCAAGGCACTGCTGAAAGAGGCTTTGGCCAGCAGAACAAATTTCTGATCACTGCACACAACAATACGATAGAAGTTACTTCTATCGAAACCAAACCAGACACAAAAATCTATTCCTTTGATAAAGTAAAGTTTCTGGAGAGAATCTAGGCAACCATACTTTGAAGGACAAGGTGATACCTGAAGCTTCCTGAGTCAGCTGTTACTTTCTAATCAGGAGTCCCTCAGACTTTCTGTATTGGGGCTTCCCTTAGTTTTAACATTATTACATGCAATGGTTGCCAGCTACTATAAAAACTGTATCCTATTTATGCTACTTTCTTCACTGCAGGCAGCAGAGGGCACACAAGTTTAATTCCACAGCTGCTGACACAGTGACAAATCTAGGAAAAAAAATCACAGGCATGCTGTTTTATGGGTCATATAACACATTTTTACAAACAACTAAATCCACTGCCCTGAAGAAACTAGTCTTGGTTCTTTCTTAATGTAAAAAATGTGCTTTGAAATGGTACAGAAAATCAAAATAAATTAAGAATACAGTATTATATACTTATTTGACAAAACAGGATTTATATGGATTTTGGCAAACATGAAAAAAATTACCTTAGTTTGTTAAATACTTTTGCTGTCTCAATTGTTTAAATTATCAGAATATTAATGATTATGTCAATTTACACACGAGGAGGAGATATTTTGAGGACTTAACAAAGCTGCATTTGACACAAAAGTAACTTCTTTGACGGCAATAAAGAAGAGAGACAATATTATCTTCATCATCACAGTTCAAGAAGTGGCTGTTCTCATAAGCATTCATCTCACACAAGTATGAACATTGCCACCAACAGTGAGCAGCAAATTGTAGGATGGGCCAGAGGGAAAAGTTAGGAGAAAACCATGGGAAAGATGAATACATAAGACATGATTTCGAGAAGCTTTAAGCTACTGGGCAGACACTTCTCATTTATGACACAGCTAGACTTTCTTCATGGTACAGGTGTTTATGTGAGCAGGCACAATGCTCCCACGCCGGACAAGTGCTTAGCCAGAGGGACTGCTGACCTGATAAAAGAAACACTAAAAAAAAACAAACAGATTTTGGTAGTCTTTTTAAAAAGGCGACTACACGGCCAGGGATTTAGCTCAGTGGTACCATGCCTGCCTTGCAAGCACAAGGTCTTGAGTTTGATCCATGGTACTGGGGGGCAGGGTGACTACAAAGATGTCAGTAACTATCCAAATTCACTTAAAATTTAGCCTCCCTTCATTTCCAAAGATACTTTGTGATTGGACTGTTCCTGGAGGAAAGCCTCAGCCCAAATCTGCTAGAACTTGGTTCCTCTGTAAGAATGTGCTGGAGGCAAGTACTTTGCAAAAGAAACTAGAAGGAAACACTCCAAAAGAGCAGTCACCTCTTCTGAAGCTGGTCCCACTGCTGCTGCTCCCCAGGTTGGATGGCAGGCTGCATTTAGAGAGGCACGTGCAAAGGAAGCATTTAAGTCTCTCTAGACGTCCTCTTTCAATAGATATCTCCTTTGAGCATAAGTCAGTTTTCAACGTGTCCAGCCCTTCTTTCCCGTGCTGTAATTGCAAATTAACAGCAATCACCTTCAGCATCTGAGAGTGGGTGCTATGATCTTCTATTAAGGTGTGTGGCACAGATGCTAAAATACCAGTCTTACACAGTGAGAACCATGTTAAAAATCAAGGGGTAAAGTGGCAGAGCCTCTAAGAAGAAAGAGATTTAGTCTACTTACAGGACAGTGTTCATAATGACTATTTTATTGTATGAAGCGCTCTACTTTTCCTTAAAACTAAATTCCATCGTCCCTGAGAATAGGGTTACAAGAAACATCAAAACTCAATATGCCAAGGGCCCTTTAAAAGACAACACAAGCCTCTACCTAATCACAATGCTGCTCCTACACTGCACACTTATCCATCACTCCAGGATTGATTCTCACCTCCCTCTGGACTCTAGGGACACAGGTGGAGATGGGCAAGGCGAGACAGACTGAGGAAGTGAGTGGCTGGCAGGTGCCGGCTGTTCTCACTGGGTGGCAAATGGCCATGGGCTGAGGCTGGGACCTCAAAGTTTAATGCTGGTGTCCTACTGACAGGATGAGTGGGATGAGGCAACCCAGGACCAAGGCTGCCACCTCCAGGCGGCTGAAGCCTCTACCTCCGGCGCCGTCGGGCTTGTGGCTGTGCCCCATTCCGCCCACCTCAGGGAGGACATGTACTGTGGCAACATAAAGAAATGTCCCAGCAGAGAAAAGCATGGCCACTCCAGTGGCATTGACTTCTGAAAGGGCTTCTTTACTGCTCTGTTAATAAAAAGAAAGAGGAGGAAAAATTAAGTAAAATTTGGGGTCAGGAAGAAGTCCCAGTTAAAAAACCCTCAGCAGTAATATCTGGTGTTTGGGACACTCAGAACATCCTGAGATCAGAATATTCTGTTATTTATAGGGCACTTCCAAATAAGGATTTAAGAAGACCAGTGATGCACATAATAGCTTTTTGGGGGGGTACCGGGTATTGAACTCAGGACCTTGAGTCTGCGAGGCAGGCAGTGGCCTTAATTGCTTTTTTAAAAATTATTATAGGGCCAGGGACTTAGCTCAGTGGTGCCACCACCTGCCTTGCAAGCACAAGGTCCTGAGTTCGATCCCTGGTATCAAAAGAAAATTTTAAAAATAGCAATTATTATAAATCAGAGCCGGGGATTTAGCTCAGTGGCCCTGTGCCTGCCTCACAAATGCAAGGTCCTGAGTTCAATACCCAGTACTGCAAATAAAAAAACAATTTATAAATCGACAATTTATAATTAAATATACTTATAAGGTATAAAATGATGTTATAATTTATAAATACAATCTGGAATAATTAAACCAAACCAATTAACACATCCATTATCTCAAATATTTGGGGTTTTTGCGGCAAAAATATTTGAAATTTACTTATCAGGTTTGAAATATATGCTACTATCAACTATATTCACTACAATTCCTTTTCAAAAAAAACCTTCAAGTGCTGATCGAACAGGGTTTACCTGTATTATTGAGATAGAACTAACAACATAACAATGCAGACATTACATTTCAGATATTAATTCATTTATTCTACTGATATTTAATAAGTATTCTCTATGTTCAGGCTCTAGGGCAGATATTTGAGATACAGTGGTAATCAAGATGCAGAAGCTGCCCTCACAGAGTTTAGAAGGATCTCATGTGTTAATCTTCAGACAAATAATTTCAGCCTTTTCTATTTAAAAAGTGGATCTATGGACTAAATGATTTTTTTTTTTTTTTTGCGGTGCCAGGGATCGAACTCAGGACCTTGTGCTTGTGAGGCGGATGCAGTGCCACTGAGCTAAAATCCCCAGCCCTATGAACTAAATGATTAATTAAAAGTTCAAGCATCAGCCACAGATGCAGCATGAAACTCTAGGCCTGAGTATTATCAATACCTTCCTATAAAAAATTCTAAAACTTATACTGGTCAAGTAACTGAAAGTCATTTTGAAAGGAACTGCATACTGATCACTGAAAGAAGACAAGGCTCCTCAGTGAACAGAAAGGGATTTATAACAACTCATTTATTAGCAATCAAGAGAAATAAAGCCTTGCTTAACAGGAACTTAGCCCTGTATATCTTTCGTTTTGTTTTGTTTTTCGGTACTGGGGATTGAACTCAGGACCTTGCACTTGCAAGGCAGGTGCCCTGTGTACCTTTTAATACAGGTTTTACGGAGTCCTCCTGTTCCTACAACTAGGTTGTTAAATGAATTGGTTGCTAAATGAAGACTTGTATATAGTATGTACAATATTCAGAACAAAGAAATGGTCAAAGGAAACTCCAACTCAATGACTTTGCTTTTATTTGTATAACTCTTACATGCAGTACTGTAATGTATAACAACAGAACATAAAACTACAGCACTATACTGTACAGTCAGCACAAATGATAGTACTGTACTGTAGAAATGGCCACAAGGCTGCACTGCTGCTCACATTCCTGCGTCATAAGTCTGAATTCGGGTTTAAGAACTGAACAGCGAGTTGCAAGTCTGAACAGCGTGCCTCAGTCGTCAGTCCACAGAATTGTTAAACACTTTATGTCATTAAACAAGGAATATCTGTGGTATATAATGAAGAATCAATGGCCTTCAGGAAGGATACAGGGAGAAGCAGTTCCTTTGAACTAACCCTTAAGTCAGTCTGATTTTAAAATTTTCCTCTGATAGCCTGACAGCTGACATTTAGGTAAAACTGAGAGAGTTGTAGCCCAGGTAAATGGAATTCGCAGGCATGGAAAGGTCCAGGTTGGAAAAGGAAGAGTGCACCGGTGCTGAGCTGACAACTGACAAATGTCCCTTCAGGTCTGAAGCTGTGCTCAGTGATAAAGAACTAGATAGCTACTACTGGTGATACGAGAGATGGAAGTGCAAGAATCTGAATCATAGTTGAACACAGCCACTTTGCTCACTCCTACTCTGCCAAAGGCTGCCACGTGGCTTGTCATGCATGCTCCACATGCCTACTCGACACTAAACGCTTATCTGTCAAATAAAATAAGCATGGCTGGTTACGTTTAAGTTATATATTATTTTATATATTAAAGCTCTATCATATATTTCTACAAACATGCTTGGACCTTATGGGAAAACATTTTCAAATTAAATGAATAAGGGAATGTTAAATTTATCAAGAAGACTGACTTAGAATTAAGATATTTACCCTGTACAGTTTTTTACTCCTGCTTTTGATCTTTAGTTTGGGAAAATAATTCAGTTGAAAAATGTGACGTAAGAGACTGTGAGGGCCAGCAGACCACAAAGGAACTAGACACATGTCTGGATAAGCTGGGGAGGGTCAGACTTACCTTACTGAGTCCTAAGTACGTCACCATGGACATAACTGGTGCTGCTAATGCGAAGACCAGCAAGTGCTTTCTGATTCGATTCCGCTCCAGGCCAGCATGCATCAGGAAAGAAACTAGCCCAAAAGCTGCCGGGGCCTGGAAATGAATAGTTAACCCTTATTATCACTCTACAAGTACGGTTTGCTTCTACATCAAGAAGTAATAGCATTTCACTATGAAGTCTCATACCAAAACCCAGACATAGCATGAAGTCTGAGCTCCACCATTTAGAAATTAATGTTCTAAACTAAGAAGAGATCCATCTTACCTAAGTGAATGTTTCTTACATGGTAGGAAACAGAAACAGTCAAGAAAAGAAAAATACTTATGAACAAAATTCCACAAAATGTAGAAATCTACAGAGAAGTTAACAGCTTGTATATATGACCACAAAAAATAAAGCCTCTCAGTAAGAGTTTAAGAAAATAGTAGCAAAAAATAACTATGAACAATTTATGTAATTCTCCAAAACGAATGGGGAAAACAAAATTCCTATTTCAGAAAAACATTAAAGACCAAGAGAGATTTTAATCATGAATATATTCAATATTACATCTTGGCTTACCTTATGGAGCATTATTGCCACAAACACAATTAATTGGACACTAGTCTGTGATGTAGAAGCTGCTGCTCCCAAAGCAACGCCATCAGCTAAATTTGGAAACAAGGGGACATAAAATGCTTAAACAACAATAGCTATGTAGTGGCTGTGGGGGCAGGCAGGGTGCCTTAGAGTCTGGTAGAGCTGGATTTGACTCTGAGAAGGTTACTTAATCTTTCTGAACTTCAGTCTTCACATCTGTAAAATGGGTTCAATAAAGCATATATATCTCGGGGTTTTCATGAGGAAGAGATGGCAGAAGATTATGTAAAGAGCTTAGTACCGGGCCCAGAGTATTCAGTATGCTATTTATTTTTATTTTTGTTAATGGAAAAAGTATGAAGCTCAAAAATCCACTGATTAAATAATCAAAACTGTAATAATAGAAATGCCAAAGAATTTCAAAGGAAGCATTTCTTCATCTTACAGATACAGACACTAGGTCTTCACCCTTGTGATTTACCCTTAAGGAGTACACTGGCCAAGTGAGGGAATTTTATTAGGAAGGCATGTCATACCAGAAACATCTGGATAACACTGTGCCACCTATCACATGACCTCCTTTGTTAAGAGGTCTGGGTTTCAGTTCTTAAGTCTGTCCTGTCAGCAACACTGAGACTTCATTCCACCTCCCTCATGTCACTGAGACTGTGGTTACACACGGCGCACCAGGGGTATTCAGTACAAAAGTGCCAGGGATCTTTTCCAGATGAGTCCTAAGGCAAAGGTCAGTAAACTTCCACTAAACAGCCAGGCCCAGGAAATACTTTAGGCTTTGTGGGTCATTTGGCCTCTTGTAACTAGTCAGTTGTTATGAAAAAGCAGCCACAGATAATACATACACATGTGGGCATTGGTGTGTTCATTCTCGGCTCACAAACCTAACACAGATACTAAGCGTCCTTCTCCGAAGGCCAGCCCAAACTATTCAGTACAGATGGATGGTCTCAGTAAACAAACACCTCCCTGAGTGACAGGAAGAAAGGAAGAAAGGGGTCCCACTGCAATCCAACCCTACCTGCAGCATGGACCACCAGACCCAGTGTGGTAGTGATTTTGGAACTGCTAGGCCTTGCTGTTTCTGGATCTGCAGGGAGAATGAAAAAGAAAGTATATGTGAGATGGGAAACTGAATGAATGTGGAGGTAGATGAAGATGAAGTTTTTAAATGTTTTTTGTTTGTTTTTTGTGACAGGGTCTCCCTATGTAGTTCAGGCTGGCCTTGAACTCACTATGCAGTCCAGGCTGGCCTCGAACTCACAGCGATCCTCCTGCCTTAGCCTCCCAAGTGCTGGGATTATAGGCATCCTCCACCATGCCTAGCTAGATGAAGGTTTTGAAATCTCTTAAAGTAGGAGGTGATTTTTCCCTCACTATTGTTTTTTCTTTTTGCTTCAAACACTTAATAGTTTCCCCTATCCTGAAGAGGTGGGTAGAAGGGACTTTTCCTTTGACTCAGGTTTCTCTTGATCAACAAACCCCTGAAATGTGTGACCTTCAACTGCTTCACTTCCTCACACTCCTTAACTCTCCATACCCTGTGGAAGGTGCTCAACTATGGTCTCTGATTGCTTCTTCCCAGACCCATGTGAGGTGTGATTGAAAACTATGGTGAATATTTAAATTATTTTTAAAAATTATAATAAAATACACATTGCCACTAATCTTCAAAATACTCCCCCCTGGTTTGAACACATTTCTCCCATCATTCTGGCTACTTTCAGAAACAGTTCTAGAAGTCCCTTTTCATCAGTATCTTTAGCTGCACTATTCTGGCTGCCTTAATGTCCTGAATCGATTCAAAATGTTTGCCTTTCATGGTCATTTTGACATTGGGGAAGAACCTTTTAAAAAGAACCTTTTTCAAACAATGCCAGGGAATAAGGTGAATGGGGATACAATGTTAATGTTATTATGAGCCTGCCTTTCCATTAGATAGCACTTGGTGGCAGCAGTCACTGTATCTTTGATTACATTTCATAAAGACACTCATGAGGGACCGGGGATTTAGCTCAGTGGTTCTGGTGCCTGCCTTGCAAGCGCAGGGACCCGAGTTCAATCCTTGGTACAAAAAATTAAAAAAAGACACTCATGAAAGAGGATCTCCAGAACTGCTTCAGAAAGTGGCAAGAAAAATGAGATGAAGTGCATCCAAAGCTAGGGAGAGTATTTTGAGGGGGATGAATGGCAATGTGTCTTTTACTGTAACAAATTTTTAAAATTGAAATAATCACCACATATTTCGATTCCACTTCATAATTGTCATTGTTTACTCTTTTATCTTCGCCAGCCTCCTAGAACTTGATCTTCATTCTAACATCTGTCACATTTACCTTTCTTCATTTTACTGTCACCATCCTAACTCAAACCTAAATTTGTAATAGGCTCCCACTGGTTTTCCCTTCTCATCTCCCCCAACTGAATTCATCTCACACAGTTATGGCAGAGTCACCTTTTGAAAATACCACATACGTACGTGTTATATCCATTAACTAGTTAAAAATCTGCTGCTTTTCAAACTGTCTAAACTGTTCCACTAGGTAGGCTCTTGTTGTTATCAATTGGTGTCACAGTATTTCTCACTATTTAGATCAGTTAAATCAGTTTAACACTCTCTAACAAAACATTCTTATCCCTCCTCCACTAAATTTCCACACCCTTAATTCTTGATGTGTACTAAATCTTTTAGTTAGTTGGCTAACCCAAAAACCTAGACATTGTTTGAAGTCTAATTTTAAGATCACTTTCATCAAGAAAGGATAAAAAGGGGCTAGGGATTTAGTTCAGTTGTTCCGGCACCTGCCTTGCAAGTGCAAGGTCCCGAGTTCGATCCCCAGGACCAAAAAAAAAAACCAGATGTGGTGGCACACACTTGTAATTCTAGCACTCAGAAAGCTGAGGCAGGAGGATTGTCATGAGTTTGAGGCCAGTATGAACTACATAGTGAGACCCTATCTCAAAAAATGAAAAACAAACAAAATAAAACAAAAGGATAAAGGATTAATTCTAGGTCAAAAACAACTATTCCCTGGCTTTGACCTAAGATTCTAGGCACCCTGGATCCACATGCTACTTCAGAGGTTCTTCTGTATCACATGAAGACACAGAAAGGCATTCACTTAAATGTCTTATGCCACCACACTAACTGTAACTGATAAAGGAGACACTCTATTACTTTCCTTCTTTTTTAGCATGTCTCACAGAATGTGGAACAGTATTGGGAATCCCACAGCTGTTTAGTAAGTTTTTACTGGAAGATGAAAAAAAGTCTTTATCTGTGTCACATAAAGATGCTACTAGAATTACAGGAAACATACAAGCAGGGAAATAATGTCTAAACAATATATTGTTGAAAGATAGGGACATCAAAGTGCCAGATGAAATGACAGGTGAACATTGTCAAATACATGTCAAGAGCTTGAATCTTGAGCCTAGCAGACAGAAAGAAGGGTTTACTGGAAGTATATAAGTAAAGTAACATGTTACTTTCTGCTAATAAATTCTGTCATCCTTTAAAAACATTGCAAGGAATGAAAGCTAGGGCTACTAATCACTGAGATAACAACTATTTTAACAGTCAATATGGGAAGAATAGTCAGTAACTCCACATGACAAGCTTGCTTTGGCTTTTATATATAACATAGCCGTATGGCATAGTTATAAGCAGCATCTTAGATAAAAATTAGAGGCCTTAAAATTAAAACATAGTTTTTATAAATCTATAGGAAAAGATTATTTTAGCAAAAATTTAATAAATACATTTTACTTTTTTCCCTCAGTATTGGAGATTCAACCCAGGGCCTTCATACTGAGCTAGAATCCAGCCCTCTTTTCTTTTTTAATATTTTAATTTGAAGACAGTGCCTCACTGACAGGTGTGCTGGCACATACCTGTAATCTCAGCACTTAGGAGGCTGAGGCAGGAGGATCGCTGCAAGTTCGAGGCTAGCCTGGGCTACACAGTGAGTTCAAGGCCAGCCTGAACTATACAGGGAGACCCTGTCTCAAAAAACTGGAAAAAAAAAAGAAAAGAAAAGAAAAAAAAAAAGCAGTGCCTCACTAAGTTGCCTAGGATGGGCTTGAACCTGCGATCCTCCCAAAGTGCTGGGATGACAGGCATGTGCCACCATGCCTGGCTACTAATATTTAATAACATATAAAACTCTGCAGAGAATATGTAAAACCATGTCATCAGACACATGAAAGCTGGCAAAAACAGTGACCCAGAGATAAAACAGAAGAATAAAGATATACAGTGGATCCTTGACTTACAAACTTGATGGATTACCAAGGCCTGTTTGTAACTCAAGTTGGTTGTAAGTCAATACAGCTGAGATCTGGATGTTTACCTGTGTATACACTATAGATAACAAGAGCCAGATGAATCTTCCATTAACCTAATTAACCCAACTTGTTCGTATGTCAGGACAGTCATAAGAGTCCATTGTACATGCTACATTTAATTCTTTGTATAGAATTACAGGGCACTATTGGCCTATATAGTATATTTAAAAATTTTTTAAAATTATTTTGGTCCCAAATAACATAAACTCAGGACTCTGGGTAACTTTATTTAGGCCCAGGTTAGGTGTCCCAAAGTTTCCCAGTAGTCATTTCACAGTTTCCTGTAGAGTTGCTGTCCAACAGACCTGTTCTTCAGGAGGCCTGTGGTCACCCTAACCCTGGACTATTTCTGCTATCATCTTAATCACTTGGGTTCCAGTCTCTGTCCAATGACCTCAATCAGGACTTCAAGTATCACTACCACTTTGAAGGTGCCCGCGGCTTGGCAGGAACCACATGATCTTGCAGAGATCAGATCCATGCCTTCTGAGTAGCCAGACTGGGCTCCTGGACCTCTTTGGTGTAGAGGACTGTCCTTTCTCCAAGGCATACAGACATTTCTTCCCCAGCCCCACCTGGGTGCCAGCACAACTATCCTGACAGCCTAGAAGCTGCCAGCACGAACACAGTGAGCTTCCATTTTCCTGATGTCACAGTATCAGCCTAGTGACTTTACACTGAGGTTCTTGCAGTTGCCACCTGCCTTCTTGGATGCCTGTCTAGTGGTAAGAGCTGCAACCAGAGACAGCTTAGCAGGGCTATAACTCCCAAGTCCACAGTTGCCTCATTCTCCTGGGCTTATAAAGTTTAGATTAAAACTGACAGGAAGCACAAGAAGAATGTCATAGATGTCACTGTGGGCCATCATGTAATGTAGCCAGAGTCGGTATCATCCAGCAGAGGGTGCTTCTCATTTGCTATTTAAAATAAAGCACATGAAAAAAACCATTTACTCCTAAATCAATTTTCCACAATCAGACTTTATTTTTTAAATGTCTATGGAAAAATATTTTTTAAAGGAGTAATAAACGTAAGATTAAAAACTAGACCAAGGCTGTTTTGTTTTGTTTACACTTAGCACCATGACTTTTTTTAAAGACTGAGCTACATCCTCATCCCCATTATGATTTTTTTAAACCTTTACTTGGAAATAATTTTAAACCTTCAGAAAAGCTGTAAGAACAATTTAAAAAATATTCATACATCTTTTCTCTGCCTGACCTAGTACCATTTCACCCTATTTGCTTCATAACTTATATTCATGCTCTTTATAAACATGTCTTCTTTCTGTACCATTTGGTTGCACATATCATAACCCTTTATTCCAAGATATTGCAATGCATTATTTCCTAAGAGAAAGGGTATTATTTTACATAATCAAAGTATAGTTAGACCAGTAAATTTAACAGTGATACTTTGCCTATTTTAATTTTTTCAATTGCCCAATTTTGTTGTTTCCAAGAAGGATCTAGTTTAGGATTACATATTGCATTTAGTTGACAATGACATTTTGGAAGAATATATTCTCATCCTTGCACCTTTCTGTTGTTTTAGTAAACAATCCTTCCTTTCAGGTTTGTCTGATGTGTCCCTTTACTGCATGCTCTTGAAGGAATACTACACAGGTGAAGCTTCTCAGGATATCACCTCTAAAGGTACAGAATGTACATCTGCTCACCGGTGGAAATAACTGTGATGATACAATTGACACTGATTATTACCTCATGGATACTCTGGATTCTGTTCTATTCCTCTAAAGAGTCTTTGTTTCATTTTAATTGCAAACTATTTTTCAGGTAGCTATTCTCTCCTTTCTAGGGTTCTACCTTCTTTTCAGTGCTGTGACAGCTGTTCTGAATTCTATCCTCTAGTTCTTTAGGGCAGAAATACTGAATTTTCTATCAGAATTTTAGATGTTTCACAGGGTACTACCTGCTAAAAGTAGTAAAACTAAGAAATTTAGCATGTTTTGGGCCAGGGATTTAGCTCAGTGGTTTCGCTGCCTGCTGCACAAGCACAAGGACCTGAGTTCGATCCCCGATAGCAAAAAAAAAAAAAAAAAAAAGAAAGAAAGAAATTTACCCTGTTTCAGGTATTGACTCTCTTCCAGAATTTACCTGCTTTAGGTTACACTCCAGTGTCCTTAGGTTGCAGTTTTTAAAATTTTGTCCAGAATTTATAGTTACTCAAAAGTACAAAACTAGTGACATTAATCTGATCATCTAGTAAAAGTCTTGTTGATTTTTTCATTTATGTATCTTCCCCTTGGAACTAATAAGTAAATCAAAATATACTCCCTAGATTTACCTTTCATTGATGATCCTTGCTTGAGCCAACCTTTGCTATGAGAGTTGCAAAAATGTTGATTTTCCCAACCCCAGCATCCTTTACACTTTAACCAACTGGCACTCAGCACCCTACTATAAGCAAGTGCCCTCTTTTCTCCTCCTTTTATCATCTCTTTATCTATCTACCACGCGGATGAGCTCATGGATTCCTATTTTCTCAGTAGCTTATGCTTATTTTGGTCCTCAAATTGTCCCATGTTTGGCCAGTATAAGCCCCTTCAAGCTTTAATTCCTATGTCCTATGATATGTTCCTATACCCTGGTTACCTTTTTTTTTTTTGGTACCAGGCATCGAACTCGGGACCTTCCACCTGCAAGGCAGGCGGTGGAACCACTGAGCTAAATCCCCGGCCCTCGGCCACCTTTTTAAAATGAGCACAAATGTTTCAAGCTCACTTGTACCCACCCTGACCCATCCTGGAGTCAGCTGTTTCTCTAAAGAGCACCAATATGTTCATGCTACTGGGTTTCTTACTCCTAGATCCTGTTTACAGACAAAGCTAAGAGATATATATACACATTTCAGAACTCATGAATCCAACACCTCTAATTCCAATCCATCCCTACCGGGGTTCTTTCTTGATTTCCTCCATTCCATATTTGTGCATTCCTTCTTCAACATGGAGTACTCTGGCTCTACCAATATCAACAATTTACTCATTTGTACAATCCTATGACACATCTGAATAGTTTTAGAGTTAGTTTGCCAATACAATTACAAAAAGTAAAACCTGTTAGAAAGAGTTCAGAATTTGTTTATAGTTCTCTCCCAACTCTTCAAGACCACAGGTTTATAGTCAAATATTAAATCCATAAGTTACCTGAATTCATTTTTCAAAAAAAATCATCCAACTGTCTTATTTATTGAAATACATTTCACCTGTTTCAGTTAGCGCCCACATCTTTGTTGGTTTCATTCTATTTTTGAAGCTGTAGACTATTAATGATTTCAAAGCCAAAAACTATACCCAAAAAGCATGCTCAGGAGTGTCATGCCCTCCTACAACCCTTCTGTTCTCTCATACCCTTTACCCGACTCTGCACAGATAACTAATATCTTTGTTTTCCAGTTGATCCTCTTTGTGTTTCATTTTTGTAAAAACATGCAAACATATGTATGTTTTCTTTTTCTCCTTCTTTCTAATACAAAACAATATATGCTAGGTGGCCGTGACATTTTTGCCTTTTTTCCCCCCTTTTCATTAAAAAAATTCTCTGGAAATCTCTCCTTATCAGTTTACAGATATCTGAGTCTTTCTTTTATTTTTTACAGCTACACAGTACTCACTCCATCATTTGTGTATGCCACAGTTCATTCAACTGATTGTCACGACTGGACATTTAAGTAATTTCTGTTATTTTACAATGATAAGTAACGCAGCATTTAATAATCTTGTGTATATGTATTTTCCTACTGGAAGTGTATTATCAGAGTAAACTAGAAATGGGATTTTGGGGCAGAAGAGTAAATAACACATGCAATTTTGCTAGATACTGCCAAATTCCTCTCCACAGGTGCTATATCATTTTGCATTTCCACCTGTATATGAGAATGCTTTACCATAGCTTTACCAACTAAGTGTACTGTCAAATCTAGGAATATCTGCCTGAGGAGTGGGAAATGGTATCTCAATGTAATTTTGATATGCATTCCTTTTAAGTCAACACTGAAAATCTTTTCATTTGACTAAGGGCTGTTTTTATATCTTACTGTTTAAATAATCTACTCGTATCTTTTGCCTGCTTTTCCAGATGTTTTTGTAAACCAACTATTCTTAACCTGGGGTCCAAAGATAACCTGAGTAGAATCCTGGGGATGTCAATGAAGTTCTAAGTTTTTTTCTGAGCTATTTATACTAAGCCATAATTGAAATTTAGCATTTTCTTTAATTATGAATGAAGACAATAAACCAAGTAATATTAGAACACTTATTGCCAATAGAAATCAGATAATTTGATACTATTTTACAGTTGTAGATATCTTTAAATGATTATTTTCACTTGTCACTACTTTATTTATTTGTTTGTTTATTTATTTATTTCTGGTACCGGGGATCGAACTCAGGACCTTGCACTTTCGAGGCAGGCACCGGAACCACTGAGCTAAATCCCTGGCCCCTCATCACTACTTTAAATGAAGAACTTGGACTTGCCGCCCCATTGCATGAGTACTGTGTCCTGTCTGCAGATGCCCAGGTGACAGGTGGACAACTACCAAGTAACTCTTTCCTAACAGTCATTCTGCCAGCCCAAGTGGAAGGCATAAGATCTCCCACTGGGGACCAATATATCTATGTTGCTTTCCAGTATTTACTGTCTGCAAAATTCTTTGCTGATATGTATGAAAAGAGTTATTTATCCCAGCACTCGGGAGGCTGAGGCAGGAGGATCGCTACAAGTTTGAGGCTAGCTTGCACTACCTAATGAGTTCAAGGCCACCCTAAACTACATAGTAAAACACTGTCTCAACCAACGCCCCCTTGCCAAAAAAGAGGTATCTATAAATCCCTAGAAAAGTTCTGTAACTCTCAAATTTATTTCCTTCACCAAGGCTTCAAAGCTGAATTATGCATCAGAATCTTTTTATTTAATATAAGCCATATCAAAGATGCTGACTTGGCCAAAGCTGAATTCATTAATCTTAACAGAAAAAAGTTATTGAGTAGAATTAAATTTGAAAAGTCTTGGCGAATTTTAGTTGTCTTTGAGAGAAGCTTACTTTCCTTGAAAAGAATGTGTTTAAGTACATTTGTAAGAAAATACCTTTGTGAAACAGGATTTCCTATAATAGTAACCAACAAAGCAAAATCTCAAAATCAACTGGATGCTCAACTTGCCAAACTCTATAGGTGTAAAAGGTCACCCTATAATTTAATGTTCTTAAGCTAAGGAACAACAGCTATCATATTGATGTCCTGAAATACAAAATTCAACTCTAATTTGCTTAGGATTTAAATGTATTATCTCATTATTTAATATACTGGTAAAAAATATATCATTACTATATCACAAACTTGTTCTAATGTTGTAACTGTATTTTGACATAGCTGGTTTTCTCTGTAATCCTATATACTATGCTTTATGTATATGATAAAATGGATATTATAAAATGTATATTATAAAAACAATATCCTAATAAAAGGTCCACGGGCTTCAGACTGCCTAAGGGCTGCACAACATAAAACAGATTAAGAACCCTCAACCAAATGTGATAGCTTTAAGACCAGAAGAGTAATATGTCAATAAACACTTCCTTGTGTCATACCATAGCTCGCTAGCTCCACCAACTGATCCCCAGCATCTGAGGAAGACAAGAGTTTTTACCCTTTAAATAAGTACATTGATAGCTTGAATTATTCAATTGCCTGTACATTTCCAAACTGCAAATTTTTTGTACTGCCCGGAAGGCCAAGAAACCACTCACCGTCAGTAGAATGCATGTGTGAGCTGCCAATCTGGTCCACTAGCAACATGAAAACAAAGCCCAGTACAAGGGACACACCAATGTAGGCATGCAGCTGTGTGTGGTCGTGGCTGTGCTCATGTTCGTGGACAACTGATATTTCTGCTGCTTTGTCTGATGCAATCACATTCTGTGCTTCACTGGCTTCGTGGTGTTTTCCTACAGCAAAATAAACAATAATGAGACAGTGTTTTTTCCTTAAAAACATTTTCATGTAGAAGCTTCCATTCTTTTGTATTTCAAGCTATACTTACTTCAAAGATATCCACTTTCTATACTGTAATCCAGCCAATCATAAACTCCTTCAACTTAAAGTTCATGATGGAAAAATCCCCAAGTATCTTCTGCTTTTGGCATGCAGAACTTCTGACTGCCTATCATTCTCAAAACCTGGGAAGTGGAAGCAAATCACCATGCAAGAAAGCAGTCATATTCCCAAAGGGACATCATTCCCATATCTTCCTTTTTGTCTGAGAAATTCATGCCAATCTCCTCAGAAACTACATTAAGTTTTACTCTGATGAAAATATGTGATGAAGAACAGTAAAAACAAGTATAATCAAATTCATCTACTTTTATATCTAGGGTGATATAAAAACTGCAAATAAAGAACAAATTGAATATAAAATTTTAATATCAGTGGGCAGCCATTAATATGAAACCATAAGGATAAGGTAGTTTAGGAGGCACATCCTTCAGTCTAAATTCAGTTTTAGGTTGTTAAGAGACTGAATTACAGTATAGTAAATGACATCTGACAGATACTCCTAGTTTATATTCATATATTTGATACCTTTTTTTTGAGACAGGGTCTTATGTACTTCAGGCTGGCCTTGAACACACAGTGATTCTTCTGCCTCAGCTTCCTGAGGGCTGGGATTACAGGCATGCAATACCACACCTGACTAATTTGATACTTTAAAAAATATATTTTGTTCATATCCATCCTGCCTTACACCTCCTCTCCCTTCCTCTTATTCCCTTCCTCTTGTCTAATAATAGTCTCCCTCCTATTTTGTCATCTTTTTTAGATTCCATGTATTAGAGAGAACATGTAGATTTGTCTGAGTGTAGCTTATATCTATCTATTTTCTTTTTTTTTTTTTGGTACCGGGGATCAAACTCAGGTCCTTGCGCTGCAAGGCAGGCGCTGGAACCACTGAGCTAAATCCCCGGCCCTATCTATTTTCTTGAGAATGACAGAATTTCATTCTTTGCAGCTGAGATATATGTATCTCACATTTTCTTTATTCATTCATCTGTTGATAGGCATCTAGGTTGGTTCCATACCTTGACTACTGTGACTTGTGCCTCAATAAACATGGTTATATGCAGGATTCCTATAGTATGCTGATTTTCATTCTTTTGGGTTTATACCAAAAAATGGTAGAGCTGGATCAAATGATAGCTCTATTTTTAATGTTTAAGAAATCTGTCTACTGATTTCCATAGTGGCTGTACTAATTTACATTTCCCCAGGAGTGTAGAAGGGTGACCTCCAATCTTCATCAGCATTTATTGTTTTTCTGTATTGTTGATGATAGTCATTCTGATTAGGGTGAGATGGAATCTCAATACAGTTTTGATTTGCATATCCCCCTAGGAAATTTTTAATCAGAATAACCTTTCCCAACATGTATGTGTTGTAAAATTAGAAATCTAAATCTTCCCTTTGAAGACACTTTACTGAGTCTGTTAAATACAATAAAACACAATGAACTGCTAAAGCGTAAAAACCTCCAGTAATGACCACCAGAGTGAAGATATATAACATTTAAACTTCCAAAAAGTTTTACTGGGTTCCTTTGAAGCAATATTAATCCCGGACATAGGCAAGTATTGGTCTGCTTTTTGTCCCCAGAGTGTTCCCCATTCTAGGATTTGATATAAATGCACTCATACAGTATACATACTGTTTTGTATAAGGCTTCTTTTCCTCAGCACAATGATTTCAGGTTTATTTATGCTTTGTGTTTAACGGTAGTTTGTCTGGTTAGTGTTCTAATGTGTAATATATCTCAATTTGTTTATCCAATCACCTAAAGATGAACATTTGTGTTATTTTTAATTCTGATTTACAGTATAATAAATAAAGTTGCTCTGAACACTCGAACACTCAGGTACAAGCCTTCCTGTGGGCATATTTTCATTTCCCTTGGGTAAAAACCTAACAGCAGAAATGATGAGTTGTGTGTATGTCTAACTTTATAAAAAGCATTGGCACTCATGGTGTTCTCCAAAGTGGTTGTACCATTTTACATACTCAGCAGCAATATCTGATAGCTCTAGTTGCTCCATATCATTGCCAACAACTGATACTGTCAGGCTTTTAAATTTTAATCATTTTTATATACACGATCACGTCATCTGAAAACCTCACTCCTTCCCATCTTCATGCTCTTTATTTCTTTTTCTGGCATTACTGCATGCTAAAATCTGGCCTGGATTCTAAGATCAGTGTTAAATAGAAGTGGTTCAGAAAAGACAACGTTGCTTTGTTTCCAATGTTATCTGGAGATTTTTCAAATTTGCTTTTTCTCAAGCTCAGGAAGTTTATTCTTTCCTAGTTTGCTGAGATTTTTTTTCTTTTTAATGAATGGAAGTTTAATTTTGTCAAATACTTTTCTTTACCTGTTAAGGATAATTGAATGATCTTTCTACTTTACTTGATCCTATTTACTGAACTGAATTGGCTTTTGTATACCAATCCAACTCTTCTTTTGCATCCTGGCAGTAAATTCTATTTGATCCAAATTATATTATACTTTTTATATATCGCTGAACTCAATTTGTTAATTTTTTTTTTTTTTTTTTGGTACCGGGGATCAAACTTGAGTCCTTGCGCTTGCGCAGCAAGCGGCAAAACCACTGAGCTAAATCCCCGGCCCAACAATTTGTTAATATTTGATAAAGGGTTGTTACATCTACATTCATGAAGGATAACCTTTTTATTGCAATGTATCATAGTTATACTAGCAGCTTAAAATGAGACAGACTGCGCTTCGGGGGTGGGGGCACTCTCATCTAGCCAACAAATGTCCATTTCATTAATACAAACAAGGTCTATGAACAGCAGCTCATAAAGCTTTAATGTTAAGTGGCTTTTTAAATTGCTGAGATGAAATTTATGGCAATGTTTTCTACACTTTTAAGACTATGACTCAGTAAAAAATAAATAAATTTTACATCATGATCTAGTAAACATACAAATACATGAAAAACGAAATCAAAAGTTTCACAAAATAATATTTAACCTTACAATGTTTACAATGCACTTTTATTTTTCTCTTTGTCCTTCCTTTGGTCTCTTTTTAAATGCTAGTCACAAGTTCAACCCAGAAACTGATGTCAAGATCACTGAATTGCTACCTTCAGTTTGAAAGCATTACTATGAGACTGTCAGAGGGAGAAATGGATGACTTCAGAGTAAGAGGTAGAAAGTAGAAGCCTAGGCTGTAGCAGCCATTTAAAGCAAGCTGAATGCCACAAAGACCTAGGAGAAAAATGCAGGCAGGCTATATGTGCCCACCTTGTCCTTCACCTAAGCAAGACTGTTAGCATTGATGATTTTAAACTAAAGAACTGATTGAGACCTCAGAGATGAAAAGTAATTGAGAGAAGCATTTTAAGAGTTTTGAATCAGTGATGTTGAACAATTAAAATGGAGACTCACGGTAACATGAGTGTGTTTAGTTTGTGAAAAATCATGCAGCTATATACTGTCATTAAGTATACTTTCCTATGTGTATGACAAGTACTTTGTTTCCTTTTTTCCCCACCCTCCCTCTCTCCTTATTTTTGAAATGGGCATCTTGCTATATTCCCCGGGCTGGTCTTGAACTCCTGGCCTCATGCGATCCTCCTGCCTTAGCTTCCTAAGTAACTGGGACCACAGGTGTTCACCACCACACCCAGCAACGTATACTTTTTTGTATGCAATTATTTCATTAAAAATTATAAACTCAAAACATAGACCTGCATGCATAATACTTAGATAGCAGACATATCATTTTTCAAGTAGGTCTCCTTTGAAAGCAAAGAGAATAGTTTAGCAAATTTCTCATTCTAGAAAGTGACACAAATGAAGTAAAATCCTGGATTTTCAGCTGGGCGCAGTGGCACACACTTGTAATCTCAGCACTTTGGGAGCCTCAGACAGAAGGATCACAATTTTGAGCCCAGTCTGGGCAACTCAGCGTGACCTTATCTTAAAAAGTAAAAGGGCTGAGGATATAGCTCAGTGCAAAGGCCCTGGGTTCAATCTCTAGTACCATGGGGAAAACTGGGTTTTTGCTAGGAACAACACAATTTGGGGTATGCTTCTATTTTAATATGGAAAACCATAATTTAATTCTTACTTATGGATGCTAAGAAGTTACCCATGTGTAGGGGAAAAGGATCTGTAAATAGGGAAAGGCCTCATTGGGCTTTCTGGCTAATTCTGACTAGAAAGAGTTAAAGCTTCACTGGAGAAAGCAATTAACAAGACAAGAGGGGAGGTGGGCAGGACCGTAAAGGGGAAACCAGGTGTTCAAAATCAAAGTAGCTGCCCTTCACTCACCTCTAATAAAATGAAAAGGAGACAAGGGGCAGCCACTTAAAAGAAAGGTCTTCTCTAAGAAAGCTCTTCAACACACCTACATCTACTATACATGTAAAAACACACACAACACACATATTCCCAGTTTAGGGCCACTATACTAGTACACTGGCCCCTTTACTTAATTAGGTCTTTTTTTTTTTAACAAACCCATAATTTCTGAAGATAAGATTCTGACAAGACAAAGGAAACCAAATGATGCTCACTTAAGAATATCCACGTGGACATAGACAATGGCAAAGGGGGTTAGGTCTTGGGGCATAGGATTTATGACAGCCCAGGGAACCAATCAGATTATGACAAATTCCAGGTAAGGGGAAGGGCTCTTACTCCCTATAAAAGCAGGTGAGAACAAAGCGTCCTTGGATTTTCCAGCTCTGAATCCTCTATTCTCGCTTACAGGATAGTTTTCTGTCCCCTCCTTTCCTCTCTTCCAAATAAAGAGTCTTTGTTTTCCTTTTTAAATGTGGTCCCTTTAATCCTTTAATGGGGCTGAGTTTACAATTCCTGGTTGACTGCAGTGCACATCCCAGACAAAACAAATTACACAATTTTGGTA